AAAGAGGCTTAGAGATTAATATGCTAAAGTTCAACTCCCAACCCCCCAAATGTAGAAATAGTGACGTGAAAGGGGTTGGTCTAAGCTCGAGTACTTTAAGAGAGTACAATAAACATCGAGATTAATGTATCAGTGACATCTTGATTGTAATCGTAGTTATTAATATTTTTTGAAAAACATGAGAATTACAAATTAGAAGTTAGAATTTGGTTCCAACGGGTTATATCGAGTTCGCCCCAACAGTACGGTATACCATAATGAAGGAAAATGTCTCTTTGATAGATTGGTTGTGTCAATAATGAGTTTCTTGGAATTTTAATTTTTTTGTTTTGGAGTTGTACAAATAGCAGGAAAAGTTCTAAGCAGAGTTTCATCTAAGTCAATGGTCATTACTCCGAATGAATTGTGGGCATGATGTAGGCCCAGTCAGGAACATATTCGGATTTTGGGTGTTTCGGCACATGTGTTGGATAGTTGATACTGATAAGTTGAATAGTCGTTCGAAAATTTGGGTATTTGTTGGATACTCCATAATAACGAAAAAGGTGGTTTATTTTATAGTAATGAAAAAGGAGAAGACATAATGTTATTTCAAGGCTCATTACTAGAGAGAATAGAATTTGTCAAACTCAGAAGGAGATAAATGACCACATTTCTAGATAGCTCTTTGTTTTCCACTGAGGGCACTTGGGGCGATGAGACATTGCTGCATCTAATTTCTCATTCCATCACTGTTGAGATGAGCTAGGAGTTGCTGAAACTTGTAGATGAGGAAGATATTAGAGATTCCCTTTTGAGCTTACATTCTGATAAATCTCATGGAGAAGATGGTATGAATGTTTTATTTTATATCCACTTTTTGCCTTTAATCAAGTGTGATTCAGTTGAAGTTGTCAAAAGTTTTTTTGAGTTTGCCCTTCTTCTTTAATATTGGAATCATACTTTAGTAACTCTGCTCCTTAAATGTCATAATCCTAATTCTTTGAATCAGTATAGACCAATCAGTTTATGCAGTGTGGTTTATAAAATCCTTTCAAAAATTGTGGCTTTGATGAGGCTGAAAACCTATTTGAATTTCTGTAGAAGTGACTGCCAATCATCCTTTATTTATGGGAGACAACTTCTGGACAATGTACTCATGAGGCTTTTCACATCCTAAATAGACATAGATCAGGAAAATATTGTTTTATGGCTTTAAAATTTGATCTCATGAAGGCTTTTGATAGAGTTAAATGGATTTGCATTAAGAAAATCATGCTTCAAATGAGTTTGAATCAGTATTTTGTGAAGCTGATCATGGTCTGTCTCCCTTCTGCTTCTTACTTCTTCAACTTGAATGAAACAGTGTGTGGTTTTGTATAGAGGCATTAGACAGGGGATCCTCTTTCCCCCTATCTCTTCATCATTATTGTTGAGTTGTTATCTGCCTTGATCACTAATCTCTTGTCAGGGGTGAACTAGTTGGTTTTAAAATCTCTAAAGATGGTCCTTCTCTTTTCCATTTACTATTTGCTGATGATATTCTATTTTTCTGTAAGACGTGGGTGGATCAAAATTTGGTTCTAATGAAGTTGTTGGAGAGGTATAGTTTATTTACATGGCAGAGAGTTAATCTTGAGAAGTCAGCCATCTTCTTCAGTAAGAACACTCATCTTGTTGTAATCCAATATTTGTGAGGCCTGCAAGGTATAAAGACACACAATTCAACAAGGTATTTGTGTCTCCCTCTTGGTATTGGTAGATCAAAGAAGAAAACTTTTAATTATTTAATTTGTTAGATATTGTCAGAGCCAAACTTTTGAGTTGGAATAATAAAATACTATCCTCTGCGGGCAAGAAGGTTCACTTTAAGGCAGTGATCAATGCTCTTCCAACGTTTACTATGTCTTGCTTCAAACTCCCTTATCTTTGTGCAAAGCCATTTCCAGTACTATTAGTGCTCAGTTTTGGTGGAGTAAAAGGGAACCTCGGAAATGAGGCATTCACTGGAAAGCTTAGAAAATTCTATTTATTCCAAAGAGTGAAGGAGGACTGGGGTTTCAAGATGTCAATCTGACCAATGAGGCCTTGATATGCAAGTAGCTTTGGAGGATTTCTACTCAATCTAACCTTCTAGTGAGCAAATCTTGAAGGACAGGTATTTCCCTTTGATGCTTTCAAAACTCAAAATGGATCTTGGCTTTGGAATAGCTAGCTAGACATTATCCCTATGTTTTCTAAAGGGTTGAGAACTGAAATTATGAATGGGAAATCAACCAAAATATAGGATATTAATTGGGTTACTACTCTTGCTAAACTAAAATACGATTTGTTAGAAATTGTAAGAGGCCATCTGATTTTGGTTAAAGATCTGATAATCATAGGTTAGAAAGAGTGGCTGGTAAAATAGGTGTTTGATGCTAATGATAGTCAATCTATTTTGAATATCAACTCTCTGAATCCTAAGAAGGTTGATAGAAAGTACTGGGGCCTGGATAAGAAAGTGTTCTTTTCTGTTTTTGCATCTTACTCTTATTTGATTGTTCTGCAAATCCAAAAGTTGGATCTCCCTGAAATGAGTGTGAACAACAACCTTATCAAATCTGCTAGAATCATAAGCTGGAACATAAGGGTTAAAGGAAAAGTAAAACACTTTATTTGGAACCTTGAATTTGAAAAAAATGTGTTTGGATATTGATGTGATCCATAAATGATGTGGAGAAGAACCTAAAAATATCAGAAATTCTATGGTGCCCATATGGGCACCATATGGTGCCATAAATCTCACGATCCAACGCTAATATCCATTCTCGGATCGTGAAAAAAATGGATATAAATTCAAAATTCAACTAACAATTAACTATATCATATTTTTTCAAGTTAACTTTAATTAACAAAAAAAATCCACTTTGACTAAAAATTTTTGTATACAAACATGCTCCAAGCATTTTGGACGCAAGTAAAAATACAAATTTCTTGTTATTTGTTGCCTTGCCCATACGGGGTTTTACTCGTAATTAACTCGCACATTCGGGGACGTCATGGACTAAACACATCAAAATTGATGGGTTAATTCGTAAATTCAAAATCAGAAATTAAATCCAATCAAACCCCCCACCCGGAAGAACTACATCAGTTCGCTTCTGCTAAACCCTTCGTCTTATCTGCAAAAATCGATCTTTTATCTCTTCAAGTACCTCCACCAGAATTGATATCGCGTGAGAAAAATGGTGAGCCTCGGAAACTTTCCCACACAAGCTCACAACAGCACGTTACTCCCCAAACCCATTGCACAATATTTCCAATTCCCCTCTAAACCTCACTTCTCATTTCCCACTCGCCTCAATCTCGAAGCTGCTCGCGGACAAATGCAAAATGGATTATATTGTAGGGCCATGAGAACAATTGGTTCAAAGGGCGGCGGCTCGGGCTTCGCGGAAATGGACGGCCCAGATGAATTGGAGGATGATTTTGATGATGGATTTCTTGAGTTAGACGATGATGGTGGTGGTGGCATTGAGGAGGACGGGGACGAGGATGAGGTTTTTATGCCAATGACGAACGTTAAAAAATGGATTGAGAATAGGCCACGTGGCTTTGGTGAAGGCAAAGTTTATGATACTTCAGTTGAGGATAAGCTGATGGAAGAAATTGAGCAGAGTAGAAAAGCTCAGCTTGCCAATGTGAACAAGCTTAAGAATAATGCTGCGAAATCAAATCCTAGCCCCAAGAAAGAAATACACAAGGAAGTAAAAGGTTAGTTTTAGATTCATGTTTTGTTGTGGTTCAGCCTTCTTTATGCTTTTACATGTTGTGGCACATTAAGCTAGCTCCAAATCAGTTATCTTATGAGAATTATATGTAGGATCCAAGGTATCGTTATATATGAGACCTTTTTTTTTTTTTCTATCTTGGGTTATCTTAGTGCTAATGTAGACTAATGACAATTGTTTATAGTATCTCATTTTGTACACTGAAATTATTCCACACCCTTGTGAATTTATTGATTTGTTCAACTTGTGCAGCATATGTTTTAGTTAAATTTGAACAAGTTGTTGTTTAAGTTGGATGAGCTATGCTGAATTTTGCAGGCGCTACACAAATTGAGGATGGAACATTCCAAGTGCGTTTGCTCAATCTTCCAAAGAAGAAAAACATTCAGAAGGACTTAAGACTAGCTTTTGAAGGAGCTCGTGGAATAGTAAATATAGACCCAGTTGTTTTAGGGAATGAGAAAACTCGAGATCCAGTGTGCAAAGGACTAGCGTTCGTTGTCTTCAAGCACCAGGATGAGGCACAGAGGTTATTCAGATTTTCTTAAAAAATTATACTTTTCTATTTTCATGTTTATGATAATTGTGTTATAGCTGTGACTTTATACTTTGAATATAATCAAAAAGAAAATTGGACCTATTGTTGCGGTTTAGCCTTATTACAAAGGTAGCCATATATTTTTTATGTGACGTATTACTAACACTCTTTGGAGTTTGGTGTTTATTTTACACATACCCGATTTAAGAGTACGTTGGGTGTGTGTAATTCTGGAAGATAAGAGGGTATTTTGTATGCTCAATCTTTCCAAAATTTTGAATTCTACCCTAATGGTTAAAAAATCACAATTATGTTCTCCTACATTCATACATTTTATGCTACAGGTACGCATGTTGATTTCATAATGTTAGTTATGAAGTCAATGCATTGAAGAAAATATCTGAATCGCATCAAAGGTAGATAGAAAATGAAAGTGTGAATATCTAATAAAGTTCTTTCAAACAAGCTATATAGTGGGTTTGATGAAGAGAAATTGCACGTGCATAGAATGGCATTTGATCGACATTTCTTCTTTGACAAACCGCGACAGCTTTTGGGCTGGAAAAAATCCGGAAAGCTATTTTTGAATAAAATGAAATAGATGAAAATCAAGTACTTAATGGACTTTTTAAAGGTTGTGATAGAATTTTGAGAAAGTAAAAACTCAGATTATTTTCTCGTTACCATATGTTTCTATGACTTCATGCGTAGTTTCCTTATGTATTTATATAACAACTGCCGAATTGAAGAATTATGACGTACTAAAAAGATCTCCTGTTTTATTTTAAAAGTTATGGATGTGTTACTATTAGATTGATAAATCGAATATTTAATGAACAAGATATTCAAGGCAATAAACAGACAATAGAGACGAGAGAAGAGAATAGGGTGGCGATGGATTGAGAATTGGAAAAAAATGAATAATGTCTTACAGAAACCCTAAATGTCCCTATTTATATCAGATAGCTTTATAACGAAAACTGCTATTCTAAAATAACAACTTTAATACACTTTGTAAAGGTAAAATACAAACAATGACTATTTAACTAAATACATATAATCTATTAGTGACAAACTTTTACAAATTGAGAATCCACTGCTCTTAGATCATCATACTACTGCCCTTGTAAATGTGAGTACTGTGTCTTGCTAGGTTCGTGCAGAATTTTTCGGGCAAAAGCATAACTTTTGGCAAGGTTCAGAAGCAGATAAGATGTGAATTGGTGAATCCCAAGAAGTCTAACCCTGCACTTGAACAATTAGCTCATGATGGTGATTTCACACTTGAAAGGGCTGAATCTGATGTTTCACCATTATATTCATGGGAAGAAAGTGCGCCGATTGAAGGAAATGATGATGATGATGAAGAAGAAGAACAGGAAGAGATTAATGGAACTTTAACTACCTCGGACTCTGATTTAGCTGATGAGTTGGAATTAAAAGAGGGATTTGCAGTAAACTCATCCACCTCAAGCCCGGGAAGGAAGAGCAGTGCAAACAAGAAAAAAATAACATCTAAACGGAGGAAAAACAATGTTTCAAATTTGAACATCCCAGGATCTGCCAATAGGTAAAACCTCTAAAACACTATTCTTATTAACCTTTGTTACTGTTCTCTTCCTAATCAAGTTTCGTGAATGAGATAACATTATAGGCTTCATTAACTTTCTCAAACTGTCTTGACAAAGCAGGTTAAAGATAAGAGAGAAGGAAATGCTCACAGGTGTGTTATCCAAATATGGTGCGGCTGTAAAAGAACAAAGTTCACAATGAATGGTTTATACTTTACTTTAAGATGTACATGGAAAGTTGTATCTTTATTTTATTTTAATTTATTTTTCATTTAACTTTTGAGGCATTAGTTTTTTATTTTCACAAATAGTGAGTTGCTGCAGCTTCGAGCTTGTGTTGAAAAACTATTATGGTTGTTATCCAATAGTAAGCATTAGTTTAGCTCGTTTTTGGAGAAGGTTAATTCTGTGTGTGGAGTCCCACAAACAAAGTAGAGAAAGATGTAGTGTGTGGATATTCTTGCTTGGGGTAAAAACTATAAAATGTAGATGGTTGCATGTTTCAT